TAAATTCAATCAGCTGTTTAAATGGATCAAAAGTAATTCTGTGTAATTTTCCGTCGGTTGACCGGATATCTGTGGTAACTGTTGAATGGCCGGAGCCATCCTCAGATAGCTTTATAGCTGGTGGATTTAGAATCTCTGCAGACATTAAATACTGCTGCAAAAAAAAAAGAAGGTAACAAAAAGATTACATTAAGAAAAATTAAAATTCTTTCTGTCGCTAACGTTGTAAAAGTTTAAATTTAAAAAAGAGTATAAAAAGTGAAAAAAAAAAAAGCAAACTTGCAAACATATCAATTGAACAAATTTGTTTTTTGAAATATGTCACCACTAAAAATGATGCATCAATTTCAAAAATCTTACATATATAAATTTATTTCATATATATTTTTATCCTATTGTCATAAACATTAATTGCTCTTCAATTCAAGGCTTTATTAAAAGTTTCAAAAAATAATTATATTGATATGACTGAACAGCAACTGGCATCGCTAGATGACTCCCGAAACAAATCATCTAGCAATTCCAAGTCGCACTAATTCTATAGTGAATCAAACAATGGCTATCTTCTTTTCACGTCTTTTCCTATTCCTCCTCCACCTCCTCATCCTTTTATTTTCTCCATCCCGTTAGCTGACGTTTCCTATCAACCTTTGCCAAGTCAAAAAATAAAAAATCAAGATAAAAAGAGGAACAACGCAAAAAATAATAGGAATTAAACAAAGGCATCCACAATCAAATGTTTCTTATCAACTGACCATTCAACTGTTGTCGACAGATGACTATATTTTGAATCCATTATTCAAATGAAAATAACTTCCAAATACATCAAAAATCCACCAAAGTACAAAACAAAACAAAACAAAACAAAAAAAATAAAAAAAAAAAAGAATAAAAAATTAAACGGAAAATAAATTTGAATAAAAACTGAAGTAACAGAAATAGCCCTTCCTCCTCCACACAAACCTCTTCATTAAAAAAAAATTTGTAAAATTTTAAAAATCTCAGTTGAAAATTCTATGAAAAATAACTAAACCCAAAAGAACAAGAAGAAAGTACACAAAAACAAGTCTAAATAGGTTGACTGCAGTTGGTTGAACCTTTGAACAATGTCAACAATTACTGGAATGTTGTTAACGAAAACCACTTTCACTTATAACCAAACAACAAGTCTCCAGAAATTCAGATTCAAAAATTGCAACACACAGACAGAACTTAAAACAAAAAATATTTTTCTTTTTTAACCTTCAACAAATTTATATTTTACCATTTATATACCAAAAATGGCAATAACAGCAGTAGCAACGGCAGAAGAAAAAATGACAGTTTAAAACAGAGGCAGCAAATAAAATGTGCTTTCATCCTGTTTATTGTTTCCTTCCCACTGCTCAATAACTATTTTACTTCAAAAATTGAAGACAGAATATTGCTAAAAAAAATTTACTTCAGTTAAGTTTTTTAAAATCTAAAAACTCCCTACAATTATCGGGCAGGTAGTGGAGAATAAAAAAGATCGGAGAAGGATCACCCCGCATATATTGTCATTACAAACATTTCCACTTTTTTTTTAATGAATCGGAAATAATAAGCCGATCTGTTTCCGGAAAAGAAGGCACTGTTTTTTAAACAAATTTATCCATTTTCGACAGATGATTTTATCAGCTTCTCAAAGAAACATAGAAAACAGTGGAGTAAGCATTTTGAAACAAAAAAAAAAATTTATGGATTCGTTTTTGTCGAACCGTAAACAAAAAACAGTATGGCAGCCAAAAACAACAAACAAATTTTGTATTTGTAATCCAAACAAAACACGTTTTTTAACCTTTTCAATAAACAATTTTTTTTGTTTAACGTTTCAAAATTTATTTTCACATTTTAGTTCAATTACACATCCATTCTTTTCTTTTCATCCCTTATTCAATAGCTAATAAAAAAAAAAAGAAAGTTACACTGATGAAGACATTCAGAAGATAATAGACAGAAAGAAAACGACAAGAAAAGGAGAAATGAGTAAAGACCGGCAACAAAAAAAAATTTTATCTTAAAAATCGTTAGATCTTTTTCTTTCACCTCCTCTCCAGCGTTTTTTGCCTTATCAATTTCACCTCTGTTAGACGGTTTTTCCAAAAACAACCAATTTAAACTATGCAAATCAACGCCGAAGACAGTTGGCATTTAAATGTGTGTTTCTGTGTATAGCTACACATCTGTTCCGTCGTCGTCCATATCCCTATATACACATATAAGTTGAGAAAAGCTAAAAAGTTATTGCTGTGCCAAATGTAAACTGGAATAATTGAAGAAGTAGCAATACATTAGTAACAGATTTCGATAAACATAATAATAAAGAATCAGGGAAAAAAAAAGAAGCCAAAATTTTGTCTACGACCCTTTGAGAAGTAACAGCAAAAAAAAAAAAAAAAAAAAAAAAAAAG